ATTCATGTTTGCATAGGTAATAAAATCAGATAGCACAAAGTTCCAAAAGCTCAAAGGGTATATATATTGAAACATTTCCCTCCCACCAGTCCTTTCAGTAAAAGACACTTTAATAAGCCTATCGCTCTCTGGTGGGACAGAATGGATTAGTCAAAGAGCTGGTGCAAGGATCAAGTGAATATGAGGAAATACCTTTCCAAATGGGTTCCTGCACTAAGAGGCCATGAAGAGCTGTGTAGTCAAGAATGGAAGTCCCCCCTCTCCCCAAAAGAAAGAAAAAATAAATAGAATAAAATAAAATATATGCACTAATTCTAAAAAAAAAGAAAGAAAGAAAGGAAGAAAGAAAGAAAAGAATAGAAGTCCCCAAATCAGTGGCTCTCCTATCAGTACCAAGGACAGAAGCCATTGCTGTCAAATCTTTACCAAGAGAAAACTGGTTTTCCCCCTGAATCCGGGAACGGGTCCTTTGAGGGTAAGCACCTCCTCTCACTGTCTAAAATGTTATTCTAAAAGTGCTTCTTTAGCCCTAACCGGTTTGGCTCAGTGGATAGAGCCTGCGGACTGAAGGGTCCCAGGTTCGATTCCGGTCAAGGGCATGTACCTTGGTTGTCGGCACAACCCCAGTAGGGGGTGTGCAGGAGGCAGCTGACCAATGTTTCTCTCTCATCAATGTTTCTAACTCTCTATCCCTCTCCCTTCCTCTCTGTAAAAAAATCAATAAAATATATTTAAAAAAAATAAAAGTGCTTCTTTAATTGTCCATGTGCTCTGACTCGTCCCACTCTCACTATTCCATCTGTCGGGGAAATGCTCCTGCAGAGGAATTTTATTTAGAATCTACTCTCTCTACTTGTACAAGTCTATACCAGAGCCCATCATCTGGCCGCCCCTTCATTGATTAGAGGTCAGAACCTAGGATGCTAAGAATGAACACAGTATTCTAAAGTCAAAGCCAACAGCCCTTCTCTGGTTTGGCTCAGTGCATAGAGCCTCAGCCCTCGGACTGAAGTGTTGCCCTGGGGTTCCATTCTGGTCGAGGACACCTACCTCAGTTGCAGGCTAGATCTGGCCTGATCCCGGCTGGTCAGGGCACTTGCAGGAGGCAAACAATGGATGTGTCTCTCTCACATCAATGTTTCTCTCTGTGTCACTCCCCCTCCCTTCCACTCTCTATCTTTTTAAAAAATATATTTTTATTGATTTCAGAGAAGAAGGGAGAGGGAGGGAGAGATAGAAACATCAATGATGAGAATCATGGATTGGCTCCTCCTGCCGGCCCCACACTGGGGATGGAGCCCACAACCCAGGCATGTGCCCTGACCGGGAATCGAACTGTGACCTCCTAGTTCCTGGGTAGATGCTCAACCACTGAGCCATGCTGCCTGGACCCTTCCACTCTCTCTAAAAATCAATGGAAAAATATCCTCTGATGAGGATTAACAAAATAAACAAACAAAAAGTTAGAGCCAACAGATACTGCCGCCTCACTCAGGGACGGGAGTCCACTGCCGGTGGGCAGCGCCGGGCCCTGTCCGCGAGTACCCTCTGGTGGCAGCAGAGTGCAACTGCGCCACCGCGAGAGCGCCTCCTCGCTTCGGTCCGGGAGGTGCCCCAGGGCAACGGAGGAGGATCCGGGCAGCCGTCCAGGGGCCGGCGCGCCAGGGGCGCTGCGCTGCTCGGTACGTACCTGAGTGCACTGGTGGGCATGAGGATTGCACACG